TGTTGTATTTGTTGTTGTTGTATTTGTTGTTGTTGTATTTGTTGTTGCTGTATTTGTTGTTGCTGTATTTGTTGTTGTTGTATTTGTTGTTGCTGTATTTGTTGTTGAATAACTTGATGTTGTTGTATTTGTTGTTGCTGTACTTGTTGATGTGATGATTGTTGATGTTTATTAAGCTGCCAAGGAGGTGTTGACCTATGTTGAGGCCTTAATGGATTTGTAATTGATTGTTGTATATTTTGTGTATTTAATTGTTGTACTTGTTTAACCTGTGGAGTTTGTGGTCTTATCTGTGAAACCTCAACAGGACTTTGGTTATTAATTGCAGTACAAACATTATTTTTTAAATTACAATCTATGTGCTGATGAGATTGTGGTTCATATTCATATTCTGATGGATATTCTTGTGTTGAATTGTTTCTATTGTTTGTATAAGATTCTGTATAATTATTTTGATCTTGATACATTTCTGGATAATATTCATGACTTGTAGATTCATTCTGTCGTAAAGGCTGTGACTGTGGTTGCTGTTGATATGAGTTAATTTGGTTACCATAAGTAGGATTTTGATCACCTGAATTACAATAGTGTCCACAATGATTAGAACAATTGAAGCGACAATTCCCTTGAGTTCTTAGACTATCATAGTTGTTATATTGCATATGTTCTGGTTGGTACATACTATGAGTATTTTTTTGATAATATTCTTGTGATGTCATATCATTTTGGTATTGTTGGTGATGTGGCTGACATGAAGAGTCCGGTTGTAACATAGTTGTTTCATGAGATCTACATTGAGAGGAGTTATACCTATAACCATTTCGATATGATTGTTCATATCCTAAGTCTTGTTGGTATGAATGATTTGGGTAGTGAGGAACTCTTGGATTTCCCAAACCCATAGATTGGGATTGAGTATTTGGTATCATTGTTCCTTGAGGATTAGGCATTACTGTTTCTTGAGAATTGGGCATCACAGGTCCTTGAAGATTTGACATCATTGCACTTTGAGAGTTAGGCATAATTGGTCCTTGGGAATTTGACATCACAGATGAACTTTGGTTTAGTATTGGCGGTGTTTGAGAATTTGGTACCATATGCTGCATACCTTGAGGCATTATTTCTGGTCCTTGAGTGTTTAACATAGGTTGAGGGGATTGAGGATTTGACATTGCAGATGTTCCATGGGATGAAAACCTTATTTGACTAGGAATAGCAGATTGATTTGGCCATTGCATCTGTAAAAATACAAATTTAATATTATTAACATATTTAAAAAAAAAACATAATATAAATAATTATTAATAAACTCTTACTTGATGAGAATTTGAAACTTGAGAAAAGTTTTCTTTTCCAGATTTTTCACATTCATAAGGTGGAAATGAATATTGTTGTTGAACACCAGAAAATTTTCGTTTCCTTCGATTTTCTGCCATTTCTAAGGAATATTTGCTAAATCTATTTTCGGAATTGTTAAACATCATTTTCCTTTTGTGATTGCAAAGATTAGTCATAGTATTGAGGCCAGACGTAGGTTTCGTCATTACCTATAATTAAAACGTATATAATATTATAGGTATATAATGTTTTATACATAGACGTTAAGTTTAAATATGATGATGTTTGATACATGTAAATAATTGGATAAGAGATTTATACAAGTATTTAATAACATTAAAAATAAATATGTGGGAGTGTCACCTTGGATAATTTTTTGGAGGATAGTAGACTTGTCAAGGACAAGCTTTGTGAATGGTTAATGGCTACGCCTTGATAATAATTATGACACTTCGTAAATGAAAAAAAATCAAGGTCAAATATCAAATAAATCATTTTATGCATATGTATAAACAAATATAGAGATCGTGAGAATCGTTAAATATTTTATGACGTCTTTTACATTCCTAGTGTCAAAATATAATTGATAATAATAATTATAAATGAACTAAAAACTATTGCAAGGTATTTTCTGAAAAAATTTTTTAATTATTAGGTAAATATTTTAAATGTTTATAATATATTATTCTTATTATTACCTACCTAATAAGTAAAGAAAAATAATGTAACGTTAAAAATAACAACTAAAATCTATAAATAAAAACTTATGTGGTTGAATATAACCACTTACCTAGACAACAGGTTAAAAATATCGATAAGTCCGCATATAAAATAATTAAATAATAATATAAGAATAGAAATGTGTTACAATATTATTCATAAATTACACATGAACAGTGAATGTATTTGCTAAATCAATATTAATGAAAGTGTTATGCGTCATACTTGTAGAATTAATTTAATGTAGGTACAAGTACATTAGGTATTATCAATTATTTGATATTACTTAGTTAAAAGATATTTATTATTTTATAAACATGATGATTTAAGATCAAAAATTATTTTTTTTCGATTACATTTAAAAAGAATTTATTAAATATAAGTCAAATTGTATGACAACAATTTAAATACTTAAATGTTTAGCTGGCGCTCGTTTGCAAATTATTAATAGCATGTTTAATACAGTGTATATTTTTATCGTGCCAACGCTTTGGACGAATTCCAAAAAATATCATCAAACCTGCAGAATTTGGTTTGCTTCACTTTGTCCAAACCCAAAATGAACAACATCATTAGAAGATAATTATCATTCAAAAAACACCTACATAATATGTAGAAGAAAACAATCAGAACCTAATAGTTTCGGTCTGTCAGTCACAACATCTTAGTAATTCGATTGTTGTTTTAAAAAAATCGTTTCCCGTTAAAGCTAACTATTCAAAAGAAAAATAACATAACCTTCATGGTACTTGATCACAATATATTGTAGGTTTTAATTGTTTATTAAAATTATTAGCATTTTTAAATTATTAATTAAATAATACTGAGCAACCATTGTCATCTTTCAACAGATTTTGTATTATTTATTTTTTTAAAGAGGCTAGTGAGTCTCAAGTTATTTAGTAAGTCTAAAAGAGAATTACTTGTTAACCAATACATTCACAATTTACAATGTTATAAAAAATATAGATAGAATTTTAATTATGATTATGTTGATTTAATAATAGTTTTATTTTAAACAAAAATGGGACTAACGTGTTTATATGTTGGACTTAATAAAATGTAATTAAAAAAAAAAAAAACATTTTTAGTATTGGGGAGATAATATTAATGTCTTTTTTTTTAGTGGAGTAAAACTTTTATGAAATCAATATTGATGAGTACCATAAAATTATGTATAATTATGAAACGGTCGAGTATATTTTGTCACGAATCGTTTTTAAGTAAATTTAAAATTAAAAAGTTTAAGGGTTCACTATTTTCTTAGTGATATAAAATTGTAATACAAAAAAATATACTTTCTAGTCCTACTACAATTTTATATCAAATAAATTATAATTATAAAATGTGAAAAGTGTGTAATAAAAATGATATTTCAACAATGTATATTGAAATATAATAAATATTAATAGTATGGTATCTGCAATAAGTTATCAATAGCAAATTTATTCAAGAAACATTTCAATTGTTAATCAAACTCAATGTTTACTTTTCCATTATTGTATTAAAATGATAAACGCATACGTCATATAATGAATATTTTATTTTAAATACTTTATATTTTATTTATAAAATGTACAAACAAAATAGACAAATATTTGGGAGAGCTTTGGAACATTATTGTCGGTACGAATAATATAATAAAAAAATCATACAATATTATAAAAAGAACTTAATAACTAACGTCAGGTAAAACGGGTTTCTTAGAACTTAGTATAAACCGGTTTTCTTGACGTCTAGTAGTAAATGATGATTACATATTTTGTATGAATTTGTTTATTTATTTTTATTTTGGCACACAGTTTACTAAAATTTCAATTTAATATAACTGTTAGAAAGTTATAAAGATAATAATATTATTTATTTATTCACTAGGATTTAGAAATCTTAGGGAGTTAATAATCTTTTCAAAATGTAATCATATTTTTTATCATTGATTGTTTTTGTAATATTAGATAAAGCTATTAATACTCTTTTACACCTTAACAAGTATGTAAAATTGATATTTATATATCATTGAAGGCGTGTTAAAAATTAAAATACTGACGAGTGATGATTAACAAGTATAAACACAAATAATAGTGTAAAACGAACATAGAAAGTTGATAAATGAAAAAACAATCAAATGTAAAAATGTTCCCAGATTTTCTAAACGTAGGTATAACGTTCAAGTGGTGTCATAATTGTCATATTTTTGGCTCATAAATGATAATTTTTAGATATAACAAATGAATAACAAGCATGTAGTTTGTTACATTACAAAACCATCAGGCGAAACTAATCATTTAGTACGGTGTTTAATATTACAACTAATCAAAATAACCGCATGTATATATTAAATCCAATATAAATTTATTTCCAAATTTTATACAATAATAATATACTCGTACATAATAAACATTTTACATAATGAAATCGTGATACTTTATAGTTTATACCACAATACTGTGGTAGTTATTTGTTATTATAGACTATAGTTATTAATTTATATTACTATAAAAATTTATTATGCAAAAATTTAATCCCATAGTTGTAAATGTTGTAATAAATACGTATACCATTATTTATTATTTTTGAGTCAATAGAATTTAATTTATATTATGCATGATAAATATTTGGCATCGATTCGTCATTTTTATTAACTAAATGTTATAATTTATACTTGCACATTATTTTTAAAACTATGTTATTATAACTTAAATTAGTAAACATCTAATATAAAAAATTGACCTTGAATATTTTTACTTGTTTTATATCTTGAATAAATTATAGAAATTAAAATAATACAAATATTGAAATGTTTAAATTTAAATACAAATCGTAAATCACTTGAACAGTTTTGTACAATTGTTACTATATATATATTATTCAAATTAAATAATAATCAAGTTTTCTGCTCTTTTATGTTTAGAAGGTCTTAAAGAAATCAGTAACATACTTTTAAAAAAAAATATTTAAATAAAGTAGTTTAAAATATTAAAAAAAAAAAAAAAAAAAACATAAATATATCATCGATCACAAACTCATGATCCACTTGTTATACACAATACATCCATCATAATATATTGTATTATTTATTGCATACGTCAATAATTAATAAGTTACCTAAATATTAAATCTAAAGTTTGTAAACGTATTAACTTACATCGATTAAAAAGTCATTAGTAATAACTTATTAATAACCGGGAATCATTGAGGTGTGCTCAAAAGTTTGATAACACGTTACCTATTAGTTAAATATATTATATTTACATATCTACGGTGATAAAGTATGTAGGTATCTTTATTGAGAGGATACATAGGTTGTCATACCGACAATAATAATTAGTATAACGTAAAATTATATTTAAAATAAAATAATGTATTTATAACAAAAATAGTAGGGAACCATGTTCTAAACACATTTTTAAATATTAGAAATTAAAAGTTATGAGATATTGTAAATTATAATGAATTAGTTATTCTACATTCAAAAAAATACCAAACTACTAAATATTCAAACCTAATTATAGATAAGTGTATTAAAAAAAAAAAAATTAATCTATTCGTCACAGCATATAAGTTAACTATTTTTAATAAAAAAATAAAAAACATCATAAAATACATAATAATATAACGGTTGGAAATGTAAACGTGATAACTGGTAACTAAAATAAAATAATTATTATGCATGTAAAAATAATAACAAGCGCATTGTCTGTGCCCACGATTATGCCCTCTAAATTACGACGTTAGTTTAGGAACCAGCACCTCACACCTGGTAACACTTATATATTATACTATAGCTGACACCTGCCATCTAACTGCTGCCATATGACGTGTTAACGTATATGCAAAGGCGCGTATATAAAATCATATGTGCGTGTGCATATTACTATACTAACTTTCCCGTTAAATAATATAAAATTAAGATATTAAATGTTTTATAAATTCTTTAATATGTTGAAGGTTAAACATAAAAGTTAACTTAACTAATGACTAAAATACAAAAGAAAAGAAAATTAATCTAAATGAAGTTTCTAATTCACCATCATAATAAAACTAATGAATTACTCATCTCTTTTATTATTATTTTGTAAACACAAAAATGCTATAATAAAAAAACCATAGTAATGGCTTTAAGCATAGTTTTAGTATCGTTAATATAGTTAATACCTTTTTGTTATGTATAGAACCGAACAATATAGGAAAACTGATTTCAAAGTGTTTCCCCCTATAATTCCAATAATATATAAACACACTACTAAATGATAGTAATATTTGCTGAAGTTATTAATTTTCAAGACTGTTTGGTTTTGATAATTTAGAGATTAAAAACAAAAGTAAATCACAAATAATATATACAAAATACTTTGAAATGAACAATAATTTAAAATATATTATACATCTAAAAGTAGTTACCTATATTATATAATATACAAAAACAACATAAGGGTTTTTGAAACTAAATTTTCTAAGTAAAATTTTGTTTAGTGAGTATGTAAATTCTTTATAATAACACTAATCATAAGATATTACAACTGTTCAAAATTATCGAATTTATGAGTCGATTTTGATATGTAACTGTTTGTTTTTAAGTTCAATGATACAAAGATAATACCTAAAATAACAATTAATTATTATTTGTTATGTCAATAATGATTACTCTAGTCCGAATGAGGATTGATAAAAGTTGCCTTGATGAGATTGGATGGTGTAGAATGTGTAGAGAAAACAATAGAACTATTTAACATATTATGTGGTTAACATAATGGAATTGTATAGATACTATAGAAGAAATAGAAATACTACAATATAATGTTTTATCGCAAATGCGCAGAAAAGTTTTTTCTAGTAATAAATGTGCATTGAAAACATCAATACTGCACCGGCTGTACTACTTTACCACTCAACCCCGACCAGCTATAAAATGCTCATTTATACAAAGCACTAAAACACAAAACAAAATCCTGATTGACTTATTCGGCCTTTTGCGTATATGTTTAATGGATTCAAATTGTTTTTATACATTATAGTTGCACAAATGTTGAGTATCACAAAAATTCGCTTTATTCCAATATAATTATGACATTACGAATTATTAAAAATGAGATACATTAAATATATGTACCATGTCTCATAATGTATTTTTATTTAATTTTAGATATCATTAACATAGTATATTATACACATATATATTTTCAGATTTTTATAGTAATAAATTAAATTAAGAAATCATTTCCTTTTAACTATAAATCGTAGTAATTGTTTAAAATAAATAAACAGCTTTAATAATTACTATTGTTTTTGATTATTAGGTACATTTTAAAATTAAAAGCATTGAATTAATATATGTATATATTTAAATATAATTTTTTATAGTTAATAATATTTAACCAAAAAAATAAATATATATAATAAAAAATAAGCTATAAACAATTTTAGTTCACCCCTTTCTTTAGATGCCAGAGTATTTACTGAAAATTTACTTGGTTGAATTATGACGTGTTTAAAGAAAAAAGACAAAAAATATTTTGAAGGGAAAAAGGGTCCAAAAACGTATCGTAATTTTTAAACAATCTTAAAAAATGTAACAAATAATGTCAATTAAATAAAAAAACAACACTCCAGTGAGTATATAGAGAGCTTCAGCATTTAAACCTCTTACTCAAGAATCATTTTAAAAATGTCGAAAAAGAAAATAAAGGTTAAAGTTTAGGTATCCCTGGTTTGTGAATAAAAATGTCAAATTTTTTTATCAACAGTTACGAACCCCGGAATAGCAGCTGTTGGAAAAGATGAGAAAGAGAGAGCGAGAAAGAGAGGGAAAGAGAGAGAGATTAACGCTGTAGTAACATCTGCCTGTAGGCTTCTAACATTGCTTATAATAAACTGGTATATAAAAAGGGTGAGCATTATAAAAAATTACGGGTATAAGTGAATAACAATTGTCAAAAACTGTTTTAAATATGTATATGTATATATTTCATTACCTTTGCGTCGAAATTAAAAACGTGTTCACACTGAAAAGGGCATTCAAGTCCACATTTACATGTACCCTGAGTTTGCAAATATATTTTAGCTTGATCCAATGAATTTAGAACTGCGTTGCTAGGACTGTAAAATAAAATAATAAATCGTTATTAATAATAAGTAACATACTGATTACTGAGCAAATTAAGAACTAAATAATGTCATTAAAATAAAAGTACATTAAGAAACATAAGAAATATAAATTAAAAATATATAACATGTTAGTTTTTAAGTAATTGAATAATTAACTTACACAAATTCAATTTTAACTATTGTAAAATATATTAAACTTCATTAAATTGCTTTAATTTTATTAAACTTAACTAAGAAATACCTAATTTATTTAAATTCCATTAGTCATTATCATTAATTCATTCAAACTAAAAATGAAATAAATACATTGGAAATTATTATTCTTTAGAAAACAGAAATTATTGAAATTATTTTGGGGGTGGTACGAAGGTTTTTAGCTAAAAGGAAACACGCACAGTGCTCACCCTCAAGTGTTACGGTTCAAATACCTACGCCCTTCTAAATATATAACAATATTTTATAAGATAAAAAGTTTTTTTAGATTCTTTGTAATAAAATTATTTTAATAGTTTTTAATGATATCAAAAACTTATACAAAAAGGAATAGAAATAGTTAGGTATGATATTTAATTTATGAAATTATAAATTTTATGGTAAGTATTATTTTTATAATAAATTTTAATTCGTATTAACAAAATTAAAATATTTGTTTTTATGTTTTGTAACGTAATTCAATTCTAATAATTACATTTTGATACATGCTGTATGTCGTGTAATATTAGTAATATTGAATATTTTCGATAAATCCTGACAGCTGGTTATAAAACCAGTTACTAAGACCACAAGGCAACTTTAATATAGGAACCATACATTTTAAATTATCGTTAAGACCACAAAACACATGGAATATTTAAGAATTTATGATATCGAAGAGTCCTTGAGATTAAGACCAAACGAAAAATTGTACATCATAAAATTATCTCGTGTTCCATTACATTTAAATTTTTGAAATTATCATATCTAAATAAAAATGAATTACTATTTACTATAAGTACTTTTATATTAAGTGCATAAATATATTTATAATACTGCTATCGAGACATTTTATTTGTTTGGTATTTAGTATTTATCATTAATATTCTTGTTAATTCTTAACAAATAAAACTATACTTATCATTCTTATTTTTAATATTAAGTGAAAAAATCATATATGTTTGAACTTACAAAGATTTTACGCAAAAAAAACTTATAAATATTCAGTAATCTAATAATAATTAGATAATTTTTTTATAATTTTCTGAATTATAATTCGAAAAAAAAAAACAAACCAAAATGGTTTAGTTAGGAACATAAAGAATTTAAGTAATTGCAATGTTTTTATAAATAATCATTATTCATTATTATTAATAATAAAAATAGTATGTAAATATTATTAAACATCAGCAACATAATTTGATTAGCATTTGATAGTGTCTATAATAACACCATAAAATCCGACATATTTATTAAGCCGTTGGAATTATAAGCTACCTACATTTAAATATTAATGAATTGTTTTTTTTTCTCCGAGTATCGCTTCTTTCATTAACATAAGTGGGTCAAAACGAATACCTTAAGAATATTTGAAAACAATGTGGTGGCAATAATGTTGTAATGCTGAGAATTTTCAAAGGAGTGACCGGTTATTTTAAAATTAAAATACAAATGATTACACAGACAATAGAACACGAGATGACGAAAGAAAAACCGCGCCCCAAAAATCATAACAAGCTATTTGTACCTGAAGCTTGGTGTTAAAATTCAAAATTAGTAGCGTTCTTCAATACGCCTACTGTCTGTATGCAAATTGGGCAATCTTGTACACAATAAGATTTATTTTTGAGTTTGATCAACACCAAAGCTGGGAGGTATATCGCAGTGATACGGTTGTTATTGCTTAATAAACTGGTTTCAGTAGTATTGCATCATATCAGTCATCTAAATTTCTTCCTATATCCGAATTCAATACAACTATAACTACAAAATGCAATGAAATCTTTCCACAGCAAAGAAATTGAATGCAAATTATCATGCCCTAGAATTATGGCGTAATTGAATTTACCACATACTTATTCAAATTGTATACAATACAATATTATATGTATGATTTAAAAATTAGTAATACAATGTGATTAATTAAACAAAAATTATTCAGCACTAAATAACTTAGCACAATGACAGAGATTTATTAAACTATTTTCAAGTTTCAATTTAATTAGAAACTAACAAAAAAATTAACTGATATTTTTTTTCAATAAACAATACGTTTTAGCATTGCAAATTACAATAACACATTTTTTAAACTCAGAACTCTAATTTAGATAAAAAATTGAATACATTTATTTAAATGTATTATCAAGGTATTATGTTTACCTACAATAAAAAAACATATAAATATGATAATAACAATGATAACTTGTTAGTTTAATATACACACATATCTTTATACATACATCTGTAATACGTATAAAATTATTTAAATATGGTATTAATTATAGTTATTATGATAATATAGTTCAATAAACATATAAATACCTATATTATATTGAAATATTTGATTTGTTAACACTAAGTTATAATATTGAGATGGTTTAATTTGTTGTCCGACCGGTATTTATAGAAACAAGAAACAAATCGCTGTGAAAAGGTCAAAATCGTGACCGATCACAAGATCTTATCCAATAATACATTTTATTTGACACTATAGCATTTTTAAATACTTATCTCGTATTAACACACTTCCCATCAGTAAAATAATCTATTTTGTTTTATGAACGATATATTAAGAAAAGTGGCGTCCTAAAAAGTAAGAGTTGGTCGAATCAAAACAAAAATTTGTCAGTTAAACTTATTTAATTTTCAAATAAATTATCTAAAGAGAAAATAAGGGGAAAGAATTTGTATAATAAAGTTTTTTGATACATTTTTGTACATCAAAACCTATACTTTTAAAGTGTCGAAAAATCGTTTAAGATGTATTATCTGCAAGCGTTACTCCATCTTATAAACATACGATATACCAAATTTATAATTAACAGTTCCAATTTTGTGTAGTAGCCTTAATTACTGAATGAAAGAATGAATTGACCTATTACTAAACTTAAAGGTAAGGAAAATACCTATGTTTTTATGCGAGTATTTTATGATATTTTAATATTTAAGGAAGTTATAAAAATGTTACATTTTGAATATTATCATAACTCACTTACATATAAAAAAAATCCTAGGTGAAACACACGTATTATGTTCTTACCTTTAAGTTTAATACAAATTCATTATATCATTAAATATTATTACTTAGTACTTAAACTTACTACATTAAACTAGAATCGCTTAACATGAATTTGTTATGTTGTACATTTGGAGACATATATATTAACGGGTGTGGCGTCTTCTAAAGAAATCCATCAATAAACACTCACCGTCTTTACAAACTCGATTTAAGATAATTTTAAAACATTTTATACTGTTTTAATAATTCATTAAATATGATTCATAAAAATGTTTCTTTATGTAATCACATTTTAATGTATCAACGATACAACATTATTATGTTAACAATATTATTATTTATTATTAATCATTATATCTGAATCACTTCAGTAATTAAAAATAATAATGTTTAACGAATTTTTTACATATCCAGTATTCAAAAAACAAATACCCTAATAATTTTAAATATTAAAAGTAATGGAATAACTTTGTCTACATATTTTGTTCGTTATTTAAGAAGGTAAAAAAGATCTGACGAATTGGTGAAGGTATATTTATAGAGAAATTGATGGACAGCGGTCGTGATACTATAGTTATCTGTGCCAATTAAAAGAGGTCCGGTCGTCACGACAGTCACAGTCGTGAAACTGACGAACGGCACGACTTGCTAAACGATTTTATTACTTTAGAGAATAGAAGTACTATATGTTACTTAGAGGTAAATCTTAAGTGGGCGGATAAGAATGTTTACAAGCCTGTTGTGTTAATAATAGAGAATGATGTTTTAACTTGGTCGAGAACGAATATAATTGTAAGGCAAAAGATAAATTAAATGTATAGTATACTGTATACTTAATAATAAACAAAGTAATTTTAGACATAGTAAAATAAGAGTTTATTATTTCAATATGAAGATTTGCAATAAAATTCATATTTATATTTAAATATCAATAAAAACCATGATTTTTAAATATTCATGAAAACATTAAATTTAATTTTGTCAAAATAATACTCGATGTTAATTTACTAACAACTAATAATAATAGCAGTAAGTTATTAGTTTATAAACTTTAAATAAACTAATTGAAATATTGGAAAAAATAAGATAAGTATATATTTCATATAATAAAATGAGTCCAAAATCTAAGTATCCAATTAAGTTCATAAAATATTTAATACAAGATCAATGTTACGATTTCCCCATCACAAATATAACGGGTAAAGAAAAATGTATTGTATACAAAGCAATTAGGCCAAAAGCCTAGTCATAGTTTAACAATGTACCATATTTCACCACACGGTGAAGGGTTCAATGAACTATATTTACAGTAGAGTACATTTCATTATTTCGCTAAGTGAAAGTATGTTGGTACATTTAAACAACTAAAAAGAAAAATGTCACAAGACACGAATTTTAAATACCTAAGCATTTAATAAAAATAGATAAGCAATATTGAATATTTTAAATATTTATTATTCATAGATGAATATTAAACTAAATAATAATACTCATTACTTGAGTGAGATACTAAATAATATTTAACATTGTTCATATTTTTCAATACTTATCTCAAGCATAAAGCAAATAATTAATTTCTCAATTTGTAATAAAATTATCATTATTAGAAAAAATAATAATAATTCTTTGTTTGTATTTGTTTATTCTCCACATTTCTCATTTCTCATAAATTATTAATAACTACAAAGTATTTTAAATTAAAAAAATTTTGATTTATTATTAAAGAAATTATTCATTAAAAATTATATACACTAATAATGTGTAAAATAACGAAAACATT